CAGAATTGATTGCTTGATATCATTGTCTAAAGATTTTTATGTGCAAGTGATTTATTTCAATTTCATTTTTTATTTTGATTTATTTCGATATTTATTTCAACCAACACCAGCATCTACACTAATTAAGAGTTTCTGATTCAAATTTACTATTTATGGTAACTATTCAATAAAGTTAATAGTGTTTGAAGTTGTAATTCTACAAATTTAAAACTGTTCTTTTACTTTCCTTTTGCAAGCACATAAATAAAAAATTCTATGACATATATTTCATTTCTTGAACTTTCCTGTAAGTGTAATCTACGCAAAATGAGTTTGCCAGGTCAATGACAGGCCTCACCTGCTAGTGCTATAATATTATAGAATTCCAAAAGTATTCTGAAATTGCTTTCAGGAAGATATTTGAACACTCTATTGCAGACATTAACTTTGTCGAGGGACATATTTTTGTTTATAGCAATAGCTTTCTCAAGTTCCCGCACATAAAACTTTTCATTCAGTATATTATCTTCATATTTTCCCCACTGCATAGTAGTGGTATCCTGGAATGTTTTCTGGTATCCTGGAAAAGCAATGCTGCGTCCAAGGAACTCTTGGACTCTTTCGCCATCCCTGTAAACCTTGTTTTACGAGAAATAAGGGATGTGTTGAAAGAACAGTTTTTTTCTGAAATTTGGCACCATCTAGACACATCAAATTTCGGAAAAGCCTCTTTCAACAGTAAAGCAGAAAATATACGCAATTTGCATATTGTGTTTCTTTTTCCGAATTATCCTTGAAGTCTAGACATAGCCATAGTGGGGTGCAATCATTTTAAACCACTAGAGTGTTTTAGTCAATGAAGCTTTCTAAACATGCACCACTATTATCACTTGTCCTACTTCCCCACATTTTATTTATGACTGTTAAGGTCACATATAATATATGGTCTTATAGCATTCTGCATTATTTCTTGTTATTCTCAGCTTTCTAATGTCCCGCATGGGTTAAATCAAGGAGAGTCAATAAGTGGACGATGGTCCAAATCCGGATCACCAAACACTTTTGAGAGGACCACAAAGTTTTTTTATTTACTTACTTGAAGATTTATCCAGTGTTGCTTGGGTCCTTAACTCAATTAATCTTTGTTTTTGGAAAATACAATGAAAATGTACATGCTTCATTTAAATTATTGCTTTGGGGATAAGGGGATCAGTGTGCAGGCTGCCTTGGGGAGAGCAGACTACCCAGCCCTTCCTCACCACAGTAGCTTGGGGCCAGGTGAGAAGCACCTCTCCATGACCAGTGCAGCTCCAGCTGGCACAGCTGGAGGATGGGTGCACGTGCCCGGGCTGGGACAGGTCCAGGTTTGTCTGCCCCCTGCATGCCCCCTGCACTTCACAGCCAGAGTGAGAAATGCAGTAAATTGTGCACTTTCCCCTCACTCCCTTATGAAGAGGAACAGCTAATAATGTTTCTGTATGGAGTGCTTGGGGGGGAGGAGAGGGACGGAGAGTGGGAAGCTTGAGGCTAGGGCAGTCCTGGAAGGAAGGATGTACCCTCAGCTAACCCCTTTCATTTGTCTGGTGATTCTGTCTCTTTTCTGTATGGCTTTATGAGAAGCAATCCCATTCCAGCATCACCCCATTTTCCCGGCATAACCAATCCCTTACCTTGCATTAAGTTATGACAAAATGAAGCTGTATATTGAAATTGGTAGTCCTAGTTCTTATCATTTAGGAGGTGTTCTTGAACAAACAGACAGACAGACAGGTAGACAAACTCTGAAGCATGTAGTAGATTATCATCATCGCCATTGTTATTACTCTGTAAAAAAAATGTTTCTCTGGAGTCTTGATCTTGACTAACTCTCGACCAAGAAGTTTGGACCTTGACAAAAATAATTGACTACCTTTACATCCTTAAAGAAATATTTCTCTTTTCCATTGGGATCTCAACAACATTCTGTGTAATTAAATCTTTCCCTTGTGAAACACGTCTATCTCTACCTTGTTTTTGGTCTTGTCTAAAATCCTGGAATTTTCACTGTAAGCTTTTCAAATTAACCATGTTTTCTGGAGACATAGTCAATCTGGTTTAGTTCTTATTTTCAGTATATTTTTTTCTTGTTCTTGACCATGTGCTACCAAACTATGCACATTCCAGCAAAAGGTTGTGATTTCCATATTAGTCATGTTTCACTACAGCCTTCATTCAAGATTGAATGAATGTGGTCTGTTGATAGATTAACAACACAGTAGCATTTTTTCCTTATCCTTGGTATAATTTTCACTTTTTTGGATTTTTTTCCCTGTTTGTCATCTGTAATTTATGATTTCTGTCATACAGACAATAAACCTTTCTTTTTCTCCTCTATTAATATTTTATCACCTGTTTTTCTGCAATATTTGTAATATTTTTATTATAGTATGAGTCTGTATCTGTGTTGATTTTCTCATCTTTTTCTCCTAGTTACAGCTTCCTCAGAGATGTTGTTAACAATTACTGCGGTTTGTATCTCTTTAGCTCGAGTACAATACAGCCTTTATGTGTCAGGCTGATTCTCAACACAGTTACCACACTTGACCTCAAACCCTTTTACACAATTTTCATAGGAATGCTCACCCCACATTTAGCATGACTCATTTTCCCATCACCAACATTTGCCTACATCACTGGCACTTATAATACCGAAAGGGGGGCAGAAGTATATGGCTTGATTCTAAATACCTGATGCACTAGTATTAATTTATCTGAGTCCTGCCCTTAAATGTAACCAGCACTGCTGTTGATGGCTTGTTACCGCTGTCTTATTTACTAATTAGCTGCTTGCATATTATTACTCTTTTCCCATGTTGTTAATCTCCCAAAGTACCCCATTTATTACCCACTTTGCTTCAGTCAAGTACTTTGACAGCTGGCTACTTAATTTTAACTTTCTCTAAAGTTTTAGCTTCTAGTAATTTATTAGCCCAGGGAAAAGAGCTAAAGAGAAGAACTAAATCCAGCGATTGGCCTGGTCTACACTAGGAAATTAGGTCAATGTAACTATGTCACTCAGGGGAGTGAAAAATCCACAGCTGATTGGCCTGGTCTACACAGTTAAATTGACCTAACTTCTTGTGGAGACAGCATTAGGTCAATGAGGAAATTCTCTTGTCAATGTAACTATCACCTCTTGGGGTGGTGGATTACCTATACTTATGGGAAAACCCCAGCTGCCTGCATAGCTTGTGTCTTCACGGAAGCATTCCAATAGTGCAGCTACATCATGGACAAGCCCTGAGAAAGCATGTGATATCTGGGTATAACTACACGGAAGATGCCAGTATTCAGGAGGGAGAGAAATTGTTTAGGATAGTACAACACAGCAAAATAAGTAGGAGTAGTTGGGTGAAACTGGACAGATGAAAATGTAGCCTAAGTATCTTCCCTGTTGTGCAACCTGGTAGACTATAAAATAAGTCTACAGAGGGGTGTGGTGAAAGCCTGATGCCCCCCACCAAACATTCAAAAATAAGGAATCTGCCCTCTCCCGTTACGACATTTGCTTAAAAATCATGTGGTTAACCATGTTGGGTTCTCTTTACTTCCTTATGTGTTTTGTGCACCTTTAAAGGATCAAACTTTTTCTTGACAAACATGAAGGCTAGAAACCTAAACATGGAAGCTGAAATTCTCATGCTATTACATGACTCCAGGACCTGGGATTTTAAGAAATCCACCATAGTATCAGGAGCTGACAATGGTAATACTGCACTAGATAAACATGTAGACAAAGAGTGCACTCATAAAACTTGATAATATGTAGTGCTCTATCTCAATAAGTCAGATGCAATACAATATATCCTAATTTATAACTGTATAAACAGTTAATGCAATATAGAATGGAAATTAGAAATGGAAAAGATTTAGCTACTAATCTAATCAATTTTCCTGGTAATGCAGATTACATACCATAAAAAGTAAATGAAAACTTCCCTCTCTACCTTTTAGAGAGAAAAACACCAAATCTCCCTAGGATACCAGACCCCCTTTTTCAATGGGGGTGGGAAAAGGGCTTTGAATATCAGACTAGCCTCCCTAGTCATCTTTTCTTTCTTAATCTCTTTGATTTTACAATCTAATGGATAACAATTATTGTAACACCTTTTGTTGCCATTACTCTTCATTTAAAGACTCATTTGCAAGTTCCCACCTGATTCTTTAAAAGGAATAGCCTTGAAACCTATCCTATGCCAAAGGCAGTTTAGTTCTTTTCTTTGGGAAGGGAAGTGTTACTATCCTTTCTCTCTCTCTCTTTTCAATGCTAAATGCATTTTCTCTGGTAAGGAACTTTTCCACCTCTGATTTGCTGCATAATTTCCCTTTTCCTCCCCCCCTTCTGTCTCTCTGGCTAAAGGATTCTTTTCTTGTTTTATCCTCTCTGTCTCTTCACTGCCCCTTTATGCTTTTGTCTCCTGTGTGTACCTCTCTGCCCAGATTTCCCTGTGTGCAGTTTGTAACCCGAGCTCCCATTTCCTGGTAGATTTTCTTAAAGAGGCAATGTTCGGCAAGCAGAACAAAGCCTATTGTTGTATTTCCTCAGATCATTGTGATCCTCACGTTGTGATCCATTTTCTTCCTTAGCCCCCTTCCCCCTGCACCCACTTTACCATTGTTAACGGTGTGTACATTTTTAGGGGATTCTTCTGCTGCTATGGGAGTAAAGATCCATGCAACATTCCCAGACCTGACTCTCCCCTCCGCGCAGATAGCTCTGCGTTTAAATGTTAACAGATCTTCGGGCAATGAACTGTCAATGAAAACAATTTGTTTCTTTCCTTCTTCTATGATCCCATTTTCTTGTTTGTTTTGTCTACCCCAGGTTTGAGACCAGAACTATGTAACTCCCCCTTCTTTCTCTCATTTCACCATCAATTTGGACACCCCTTTGTGTCAGCAGATTCCCCTCGTTCTTTTTCTCCTCCTACCATGCCCTGCATGTCTTTTTCCCTGTTGCCTGACGGTAACATGAGCTTGTATTTCCTGGTGGCAGGGCTCCTTTAAGAGGCAGAGCTCAGTGCTGGGAATTCACGTCAGTTTCAGCCCTGAAACTCTCAAGATCAATGAGCAAAGAGCTTTCTCTCACTTCTGTCTTTCAGTTTCTCTCTTCCAGGAAGGAAAACATTCACGGAGAGGGGGAGAGAGCGAGGACACCAGCCTCACCCTTCAGCTCTCAAAACACAACACCGGCAAATTACATCAAACATATTCACCCCTTCCTTCAAAGGAAAAAAACCAAACAACCCAGCCAAACATCACAACAAAACTATGCAGGCTGCCTCTCCGAGGGGCAAATCTGCAGGATCTTTGGGGCTATGTGGAAAGATGGTTGGAGTAACTTCTCCTTAAATGATTACGTCTGTGTGTGAAGGATTTCTGGGTTGGGGAGAGGAAAGGAAAGTGGAAAAAAACTGAGAACTTCCTGATCTCTCGCTCCTTTCCCCCCCTTTCTGTGAGACATGTCTGAGGCTCCTGCTCAGTGTTGCATCAAGGTAAAAACCCATTTTCCCGTTTTGAAACCTGCCTCGATCCAGACAGTGTTTGCAGCGTGGGGAAATTGCAGAGATTATATTTCGAAGTGAGCTCTCCTCTGGGAGGGGTGCGTGAACCGGGCTGGGGGTGGGGAATGCAGTTTTTTTTTTAAACCTTGCTCTCTATTGCCTTTTTGTCTTCTTGAAATATACAATGAAACCCTTGGCATAACCGAGCCGGGAACTCAAGCTTGTTTTGTTTGTTGGCTGCTGGAGTTTGGGCAGTAAATACTCGGCGAATTTCTGGCTCAGCCTGATGTCTGTTTGTCCCTGGACATGAAGAGTACATGTGAACTTTCTGTGCTTGGGGGGAGGGGGGGAGGAGGGAGAGAAAGGTCTGCAGAAATGTCAATAGAAACATTTGTTTGTATGGAAATGCTAGTTTGGCAAGAGCAGGAAAGACCTGTTTTCTCAGACGAGAAGAACTTACCGCACATTTGAACTCGCGCTTGTGTTAGTGTTTGATATGCAAACGCCCTCCATATGGCAGGGGCAAAATGTAGGTGCTTTTGAAATTCTCCAAGATGATCGGGGAGGGTGGGTTGGTTGGGTTTGCTTGTTTGGCCAGACGTGTGCGCGGCATCCTGACAACTCTAAACAAGTCTCAGATTAGCTTGATTCCCATTGCACAAAAGGGGGAATGCCTCTGTCCTTGTGAATACGGTGCCAGTGCACAAGTATATTTCAGAGTGATTGCCGCTGCTGGACCCAACGCCACGGCGGATGGTTTAAAAGAATACCTGGTACCTGGCCCCTGGCGGTTTGGCGACCCTGGCTTTTTGGCTGTCGCAGCTGCTGCTCGAAAGTTTGGAGAAAGTTTGCTGTGGTGGAAGGGACGCAGTGTGTACTTTCACGAGCAGGGCTGTTGGTGCTGTTTTTTAATCGCTGTGTGGCTCTTCTCCATGAGTAGGACTAGCACGCTCTTTGCCTTGCGAGGGTCCTGTAAAGGAGTGTGTTTCTTTGTGGCTTGGCCTATTGGACACAGTGAGGTTTCCCCTTTTAAGGGGAGACAGTGTAAAGAGTGAAGAAAAGAAAGTTTCCTCTCTTGTCCAGAACCTTCCTATCAAGACAATCCATGTAGACAATGATTTCCTTTGAAGTACCTCTGCCCCCACCATTTATGCTTGAATTACTTTTTTTTCCTTGAGGACTTATTTTATTTCACTTGCAAGCTGGACAGGAATGTGTCCATAACTGGTACTGTTCAGAAATATTTTATGACAGTCAATAGGTAGGCAGAAATGGTGATTGCCATAGTATCTGAAAGGTGGAACAGCCTGCAATACAAAGTTATTTATCCCACTGAATGCAAAAGAACCCTTTTTGTCCTGCATGTTTGCACATTTCGGATTATAGCCCAGAAGTTTTCAAATTCTAGGTAATTTCTCTTTCTGGGTAAACTAACTGCATCACAATGTCCTGTGAACTCCCATGGCATAAATAATATAGTTTATTTGACTTTTTCATGGATAGGCAAACTAGAGACGAGGATACTGTGTGTGTTTAATAGGATAGCAAAACATTTTGATAAAGGGAAAAATCTGAATTGCTAACTAAGCAGCATCTTTTTAATAAGTACCAGTTATGGACACATTCTGCTTTAATATATACAAGTAAAAAGCTATTGATTTTTCTAACAAACCCCATAAAAACATTATATATGGAGATGAGATCACAAACTACTAAAAACAATGCTGCTAAGTGGCTCATTACTTTGCATCAGAAATGGGGCATCTTGTAAATAAATGAATCTTGCACGTCAAGTTAGTGACAAAGTCTCATTGATTTACGGTACAGCATGCTTGATCCCCCACAATATTTAACATTATGGAACCATATTATAAGGGGTTCCCCACATATTACTTGTCTGTTTCTTACTGCATCATACTAATAGTGGAAATATGGAAGTGTTTTGTTATGCGTAACGGGATGTCATTAAATATATTTTTTTAAATACTGTGGCCTGAATATTTAAAAAGGCCCTTCACATTTTTATGGGTGTTTTTCTGCTCTCACATTGACACTGAGGATGATCTCATTAGCAAGAGAGAAGTCGGCTACCATACAGGGGAAGCCCTAAGTCCAACTATACACAGAGTGCTATCACATGCACAAATAAACAAAATGGAAGGAATTTTTTTTGTCTGACTTCTCTCAGTTATAATTTTTAGTTGTTCCTCTTAAGTACTGAAGAGGAACTTTTCCGACAGAAATGTGAATTTCAAACAGATGATATCCCTTTAATAGTCAAACCATTTTGGATCATTTTCCCTTCGTTCGACTGCGTACTATCACAATCTTTGAACATTTGTCTCATTCAGGATAGATCCAAAGGTAATTCTAGGTCAGTAACTGGAATCAAAAGAACATCTCTAAATGATGGTGTAACCATACCAGTGCAATCCAATATTGCATGATAGCCTCATGCCAGCTTGCAGTGCAGAGTGTTTACTCAAGAGCATATAAGCAAGCATTGCATTGTATTACAAGTCTGCTGAGACCCTGTCTTGTATCTTGCTGCTGTAAACAGCACATGTTTCAATGTTGAATTGTCTGGTTGACCAGAGCATTCCAGTAGAAACCTATGAACTGGACGAAGTGTTTATAGATATAAGTATTTTGCTAGGGCTTTTCCTCCCTCAACAAGGAGCAAATCAGCATGCAATAAATTCCACAGCAACTAGTGTGGTGAACCATGGACAGCCAGACTGAAAGGAGTGAAGGAGAGTGCTTTGTTTTGTGTGTGAGATGTTCCTACCGCACCCGAAAAGCACTATCAGAAGATTTAGGAAGGATTTCTGAGGATGAAGTTCTGGTACGCTTGTCTGCTCTCACCTCTCAGTCAATACACATTCACAGTAATATATCTGTTGAATGGCTATTGGGGGGGAGGGGAGTATGCTTACACAGTGATAAATTTTACATTTTTGGTTTGTTGCAAGTGTGTGTGTGTGTGTGTGTGTGTGTGTGTGTGTGTGTGTGTGTATAAACATTCATTTTCTGTGAGGGGAAAAAAATGAACGCCAAGGCCCTGTTCCCACGAACACTGATGCACTTGCTGAATAAGCAATGGCAAGAAGTCCTATTAACAGGGCTCGACAAATAATGCAATCTACTCGCCTATGGTGAGTAGATTGCAACCCAAAAGAGCCGGGTTCTGGCGATCTGCGCATGCGCAGATTGCTGGACAGTGTGGCTGGCGAGCAGGGCTCGCCGCAGTTCGGCCAGCCCTTCCTATTAACATCAATGAGGCTATGTCTACACTACAAAGAAAAATCGGGAAAAGATACACAAATTGCGAACCGCATCTTTTTCCTCTTTTCTTCTGAAAGAGGTGTTTCTGACATTTGGCCTGTCTACACGGGGCCAAATGCCAGGAAAAAAAAACTTTTTCAGAACATCCCTTCTTCCTCATAGAAAAAGGTTTACAGGGATGCCAAAAAACCATGTCTGCTTTTCCGAATTTTTTTTTCGGAAAGGCAGACGCATTCCTTGGACATGGCAGAGCAGTGTAGCCAGGACTGGCCTTACCATGAGACAAACTGAGGCAGCCGTCTCAGGTGCCAGACTGTGGGGGGCACCACTAGGACCCAGAGAACTGAGACCTTTCAAAGTTTTGACCCAAGCGATGGGGCATAGGGGCATCATTTGAGCTCCAAGCCTCAGGTGCCAAAATGTTATGGGCCAGCCCTGAGTGTAGCCATAGCCTGAGAGTCAGAAGGCTATCTAGTAATCTTCCCAGCTCCTGAAATTATTTGATTTGATGAGAATCAGCTTTTTGTTTTCTTTTTAAGAAAATTCCTGGTTGTGGAAAAGAGCCTTAAAACATGACCTGAGTGCACCAGAAAAGATCAAAAAGCACATAGAAAGAGCCCAGAGTGATTTATTTATTTATTTTCTTAAAAAAAAAATCTCCTGACTTTTAATACAATCTAATGATTTTTGGGAGTCCGGCTCAATTTTTGAAAACTTCGCTTGAAGATTCTGTCCATTTTATCCACAAAACTTTTTTTTTCTATCACTTTTTTAACAAGGCTTTGGTCTCAGAAGCATATGGTACCTACAAGTGCGACTCCTTCAAAGAGAAAAAAGCTTCCCGTGATGATGCAGGCCAAACTGCTCTTGGCTGGAATGAGTTTAAAAATCCAAATGAAAGTTTCTTCTTGCTGTTTTTCAAGGGTCAGCATGTTCAGCTTGCAGATTAGAATTCATCCAAACTTGATTTGTTATGCATATCTCATTGATGCTTCAAATGCAAACTAGTTCCAAAGCTTGGATGTTGCTGTATACTGCACTGATTGATATAGGCCCTCGTGCCTAAATAAAGCCCCATTTTCGTCAATACAAATCCTGATAGGTGTGGAGCTTCACCAAAGAGGTGCTCATTTTAGAGTCAAGTCTAATTTATAATGATTAGAAGAGAGACTATGTTCTAAATTTTGAGTTCAAGGGACCAATGAAAAGGCTGAGCCATTTACCTGAATTTTGCCTTTCTAGATACCAGTTTCAGTGTTTGATTTCTATTTCATTAATGCTTTTTTTTTAAAGGAATTGCCATTTATTTTTTTCTCCAGTGTGATGATGAACAGTGTAAATTTCCATTCTAGAACAATTCTGGCTCATGCCACTAGAGTCCTGCCACCCTTAAAGAAGGCTAACTCATTACTTGGGAAAGATAGACCCCTTAATTCGTACTTGGAAACTTATCTACTATATTAAGGGTCTGGTTCTTCTCATCTTGATGCCAATCAGTGGATGCAGGCTCAAACCACAAGAGACCAGGCTTTACCAATGCAAAGTTATTTAACATTCGATTAATCGCGCAACTAATTAGCACTAGCAAAATTAATCTGCATGAATCAAAATTTTGCTAATACTGTCCCAATTACGCATTGGTTGACTATTCAGTCTATATCCTCATAGGGTAAGTCAGTTTCCTCGGAGGCAATCAAGTAGCCATC